CTCCCCCCTCCTGTCAGGGACTTGCAGAGCCACAAGGTCCCCCCTGATCCCTACAGACATCCCAACAAATCTCACACTTGTACAAACCCAGCTTCAGATCCCACCTTTCACTGCCTCTGCTTGCAGAGATCCCTGGCAGGACCTGCACAGCCCAGTGAGGGCTTGGAGGGACTTTCCTGAGGCACCAACTGCACTCAGGAGCAACTCACGGGCAAGGATTCCGTATTTCACAGAATCATGGAATGGTTTGGGGGGAAGGGACCTTAAACTTTTCCAGTTCCACCCCCTGCCATGGGCAGGGACACCTTCCACTAGCCCAGGTTGCTCCAGCCTGGCCTGGGACACTTCCAGGGATCCAGGGGCAGCCACAGCTGCTCTGGGAAATCCATTCCAGGGCCTCCCCACCCTCCCAGCCAGGAATTCCTTCCCAATATCCCATCCATCCCTGCCCTCTGGCACTGGGAAGCCATTCCCTGTGTCCTGTCCCTCCATGCCTTGTCCCCAGTCCCTCTCCAGCTCTCCTGGAGCCCCTTTAGGCCCTGCAAGGGGCTCTCAGCTCTCCCTGGAGCCTTCTCTTCTCCAGGGGAACCCCCCCAGCTCTCCCAGCCTGGCTCCAGAGCAGAGGGATCCAGCCCTGGCAGCAGCTCCATGAATGTTTTCCCAATCCATGATCCATCCCTGGATTCCACACAACATGATTTCAACATGATTTCCAGCTCTTTGGGGTTGGACTGAACCTCCAGCAGCCTCTGCTCTCGAAGCATTTCCACATTCCCACCCCTGAACCAACCACCCAGGACCCAGTTTGGGAACCCACCCCTGTCCCCCACAACCCCTGGATCCTCCTCCCAGCCCGTGGCACTGGGGCAGGATCCACCTCCAAGATCAAGAATGACATAAATCAGACTAAAATCCCAGTTCCTCTCTGGTCACTGTGGAAGGTTTGGGACACCAGGCTTGGATGGGGTTTTTCCACATTCCCAGGAGATAAGATTCAATCCTGCACATCCTGCACCATTTTACCCCATTTTATCCCATTTCCAGTTCAAACCTCCAGAGCCTTGGGCACTTTCCACCCATGGAAGTCACGGCAGGAGCTTCCCCAACACGGGGCAGCCCCTGATATACCCAATTTTCCTGTTTGTTTTTTTTTTTTAAGATTCCTTCTCCTCTTTTCTTTCTCAGGCTAATCCCACAGATTTGGTTATCTCAGCTCCATCTCCTGTGGAACTTCAGGTGCCCCCATCCCAGCCTGTCCCAGGTGTGTATCCACAGAAATCCTGGGGCTCTGAACATTCCCAAGCACCCTCTGAACACACTTATTGGGTGTGTTAAACACACAGTTTGATTTGGCATCGCCCTCACAACCAAATGATGCCGTGGGGGGTCACTCCTTTCCATGGAGCACATCCCTGGGAAGGAATTCCTGGCTGGGCGGGTGGGGAGGCCCTGGAGTGGATTTCCCAGAGAAGCTGTGGCTGCCCCTGGATCCCTGGAGGTGTCCAAGGCCAGGTTGGACAGGGCTTGGAGCAACCTGGGCTGGTGGGAGGTGGGTTTGGGTTTGGTGGCACCATAAACCTGTTGGAACAGGGTCAAAGACACACCACAGCCGGTTTTTGGGTTTGGTGGCACCAGAAACCCTTTGGGACAGAACCAAGGACCCACCACAGCCAGTTTTGGGTTTGGTGACACCATAAATCTGTTGGAACAGGGTCAAGGACCCACCACAGCCGGTTTTTGGGTTTGGGGGCACCACGAACCTTTTGGACCCACCACAGCCAGTTTTTGGGTTTGGGGGCACCACGAACCTTTTGGACCCACCATCAAGGACCCACCACCGCCAGGCACCTCCTCCAGACCTTGTCCTGCTTCTCCTAAGCCACAGCTCAGCTGGTTCCTGCCCCACGGCTCAGCCCGTGCTAGCCCAGGGGGTGACACTCCAACCCTCCATCCCACGTGCCAAGAAGGAGGGTGGCAGAGCCCCCCCATCCCTGGCAGAGCCCCCCATCCCCAGCAGAGCTGAGCAGGGAACCCCTGGACTGCTCCAACCCCACCTCCCACCCCGAGCAGGACCAGGCAGCCCTGGTAGCAGGAATTCCACGGGACGCTCCCACCTCACAGAGCTGGAAAGGGCTGAGCCTTTCCTGCCCACGGGGCCCATCCCTCCCCTTCCCAAAGGGATTTCTCCCCTCCCCCAGGCTGTCTTACCTACGGATTTTGTCCGTGGAATTCCTTTGCGCAGGGAAACGTGGGGCTTCTCAGCTCCCGCCAGGACCCCCGAGTGTGCTGCCATGCCCTGGCGTTCAAAGAGGGACTGCAAGGCAAAAAACAGGGAATTCCCATTCCAGACCCAGCTGGGAGGAGCCCACAGTTCCCCTCAGCCCTTCCCGACCCTGCTGGGAAATGGGATCTGCCCGCACGGCCCCGTCCCTGGGGACAGGGATGGATCCCCCTCCCCTGCACCTCCCCTCGCACCAGGAACCTGCTGGGACAGGGCCAAGGACCCACCACACCTGGGGTTTGGGCTGGGTGGCACCAGAAACCTCCTGGGACAAGGTCCCAGTCAGTTTTAGGGTTTGGTGGCACCGTGAACCTTTGGGGGCAACGTCAAGAACCCTCCTCTGGTGAGAGCTGGTGCAGCTCCCTGGTGAGATCTGCACTTCCCTGGCCTTGCTCCTGCCCCATCCCTGCTCTCCAAACCCTGGGTGTTCCCAGACTCTCTCTCTCCTTATTCCTGGGGAATCCCCCTCCCAGCACAAGCCCATCAGCAGCTCCACTTGGCACCACGTGTTCTCCCCTCCCTCTCCCTCCATGTCCTCCCATCCCTCTCTCTCTGTGTCCTCTCCTCCCTCTCCCTCTGTGCCCTCCCATCCCTCTCCCACCATGTCCTCCCATCCCTTTCCCTCCGTGCCTTCCCATTCCTCTCCCTCCATGGTTTCTCCTCCCTCTCCCTCTGTGTCCTCCCATCCCTCTCTGTGTCCTCACTGCCTCTCTCCCCACACCCTCCTATCCCTCTCTCTCCCTGCCCTTCCCTTCCTCTACCTCCATGCCCTCTCCTCCCTCTCCCTCCATGTCC